TAGCATTATGAGCTAATAATAGCATAATAATAATAATAATAATAATAATCTGAATTAATACATAAATTATTATATTTCTAGGGCTTTACCTGTTTGCCGCCAATCTAGAAGAAATGTATCCTCCGGGAATTTGCGTCACAATATAACCCCAGAAAAATGAGCCATGAATCATTCCAACCGTTTCCGGGTCCCAGTTGAATTTTGCCTTCTAAGGGAGAGAAACAACAGAAAATATCAGGTTGCTAATCCTATCTGTAAAAGGCTAGGGACAATTTAATTTTTTATTTTTCAGAGCTGTAGCAAACAAAATATTGATTATTGTGCACAAAAAAAATAAAATGACAAGAGCGCAGGATTACTTTCCAGCTGAAGAGTTAATCAATTTGAGGCTGATGACATTCAAGTAACCAAGGTCAATTTTTTTTGCATGAGTAGCCTACTTGTTTTCAATATTTTCCAAGCTAGCAATGGGGCATCCACTAAGCCTCTTTCCAACAAAAACAAGTCATTGTGCTTTTAAATTCTGTCCCCTTTTATTTCCCATAAGACAGAGTAGAAGGTGCATGCGTGTCTATGTGTATGTGTGTGTGTGTGTGCACGCTCTTGAGGGGTGTGTGGGGGTGTCACGAAGCTGACGTGCACATATAAAATCCAAGCGTGCCTCGCGCACAAACCTCTTTGATGATGATCTTCCCGTTCAGGTGAATGGTGCTGTTGTTCACCATGCTCACTATGGCCACGCCTAAATTGCACCGAATACCGAAGGAGATACAGAACCCGAGGCCGCTCATTATGGCGATGATGTAGCGGCGCGGAAGTCCAAAGCACGTGCAGTCGCACAAAGGTGCCTTTTTCTCGCTGATCTGGGTAGGCCGTCCATCCTCGGTCAGTTCAATGTTCTCGCCAGGTTTTTGCCGCTTTTCTAACACTCTGCATCAGTCAAAATATATTGTCAGACAGACTCCTTTAGGAAACTAACAGCATAACGACTACAATCCTGAAGAACCAGTTATGGATTTCATTCACCTTTATTAGGCTACTTAAGTCAAACGAATCAAGAATTCATTTGAACATTGAATTCAATTTACATTCCCACTAGTAGCCTACTCTAAGCTGCACGGACAGATTCAGGCAATTGAAATTGCCTACAGAAAGAGTTCTTTCTTTTTTTTTCACCACAAAGATTTTTGTTAACTCCACATATAGGCTTCGTGTGCTGCTGTAAAGCGCGCTGTACCGCATTGCAGCATTCCCTTCACCTTCACCTTATTTACATTCACACAGGCTTAAGGTCCACTGATATTCACGAACTTCACTACGTTACTAATATTATTAGCCTATACCAGAGCCGTAAGGAGAGTTATTTGCGTACAGTTATTTACTATTAGATAATGAAAGCATATTGTATCAAGATCAATTCTATAACTTGATGTGCAAAATGTATAGCCTATACATTTTTTTATATAAAAAAAATAACATTTCATTTCAGGCATATGAAATTTTTATTTCATAAATCACATTTGCAAATGTGACGGGAATAAAATGCATTTTATTTTGTGATCTTTTGAAAATACAAAATACATAAAATGCCCATTAACTGCATTATAATTGTCAATTCCGTTTTTAATCTCAGATGACAAATAAAAGACAATGTCCTAATATTTTGGAAAATAATCAGAGACTACAAAATGTCTATAAGCAAACGAAAAAAAAACGAAAAGATGAGGAGATATTTATTAAAGGTAGTGCTCGGGGGAAAAAAGGTATTTTCAGTTTCGAAAGACATTCGTTCAGATGGTCGTGGCGGTCGATCTTTATTCATTTATTTATTTTTACTCTCATAGATTTCAACGATTTGTTTTACAAGACACGCACAAAACGATTCAATATAAAGGAGCATCAAATCAACGTGAAATAAATATGTACAAACCAATTTTCTCGTATGATTTCAATCGCGGTCTTTTTTTGCAGGTAAGCCTATTGCGGGAATAAGTGAATGGTCTCTAAAAAGGAAGGTGCACTCAAGGGAATCCTCTAATTGAACGATTACTATGAAATCGAACATGCATTTGAATCACCGGATTACAATGACAACCTTCAAAGATAGGAAAACTCGCATGCTTCCATCCCCTCCTGCCAAGATTATGCAGGATTACATCATTTTCTTCACGTCTTCATGAGGCGTGACGCCAAAACCGACTGGGGAACCTCGTTATTGAATAGACAAAACTAGCTGCAAATTCGTGATTTTCTGTTCTGTTATAACATTAGTTCGCGTAAATCACACACGCACACACAAATTTAGGCCTATTATTTTTAAATGACTGAATCCGTTTTATAATGTTAAAATATCTTACTTGTGCACGTGCCCCAGTGTCTTCCCCGCTAGTTGCTTCAGCCCCTCTTTGCTGGGCATAAAACCAGGCTCCCTCGGAGTCTCCATGTCCAAATGTGATAATCCCTCGTTTTCCCGGTAATGTTAAAGTACCATGTCACAGTGTGAGATGACAGAGCATACCGGACCGATACCCAGCGGATCAGTGATTCAGTAAAACAGATGAGGAAAATTCACGACGGTGTTCACGGAGCGAAGAAAAAAAATCCGCCTACACACGAGAGATATCAGAAGTGGTCTGGCTCTGTCTACTCATAGTTATAAACTCATAAACTGCCCCGCGCGCGATAAGAGCACGCGATGCCATCTCAGATTTGAGTCAACGAATTTATGTTCGCTTCGAATTGACGGTGTTGAAAAAAAATCGGATTTACAAAAACGATGAATGGTTAATTAAGAGGAAAAAAATGAAAAGGTGACCAATTCCTCGTCTCGTAACGTCAGTTTTTCGGTGCAAAGCGACAGTTAAGTAGCTTTACAAAGAGGTGAATGGATTTCAGCACCAAGGTCAGCGACAGTCTCGCGTTCAGAGCGGCGCGAGCTCCCCCGCCACTCCTTTACCTACTCCCGTCAGAGTGCCCGCAGCGGTTCACTGCTTTGGGAGGGGTTAGAGAGGGCGGACAATGTTCACATTCCATTCACATTTTCTTTGATTTTGCCCTCAAATGATCTGAATTATGTTCCACGAGCGACAAATGATAGTTTTTCGATGCTTAAATCATGACGGGCACGTGACCTGACATTCTAAGTTTCTACATTTGTGCTTTTATGCCTCTTGCTTGTTTTCCATCAAAGCCTCCTGGGGGCGGTGCTATGGAAACCGAATGAGGGGTGTTTCCCCGTGTGCTGGTGTGAAGGAAAGCGTATTAATAATTCATACATAGCTCACAGTCCCCCTCCCTCTTTCTGTAGCACTGTCCTACACAGCAAAAATAAATAAATAAAAACTGCTATTGTATGTACACGTACGTCGAATTCGAAGCAAATACAGTCCAGGTGCAAGCTATTATTAATTTAAGTCAGTTTCTTATGGTTGAGCATAACGAAGGGGGTATTTTGATAAGATCATTTGATAATATCGTATTTTTTATTTTGATATCCTGCTAAATCACAGACCTCTTTATAGGAAAGTAACTGCGCAGTTGCGACGCTTTGCGTTCTTGAAAGCTTCCCACAACAGGTAGTCGAGAGCGCACTTAGTGAAGCGCAGGCGCCACCTTGTGTTCATGACCGTATTCGCTGAGGACGCCCAACAAGTGCTGAACACGTGTAATACACTTAAATCACTTTATTTTGGCACGTTCTCGTCGTTGGAGACAATAATTTCTTTTATAAACTTGATTCATGGTTAATCATAAACTTACTTTTTCTCACGGATTCATGCAACTTATTCTGTGAACATTTGTAGACCAAATAAATAAGACGACCAAAAAACAATATACACATACACGAGTATCATTATGAGTTATTAAGGCAAATGCATGTGTGACATGTTCTCATCTGAACACAAAAATATCCTAAACTAAGTGAATAACTTTTTAAAATATTTTTTTTTATAATGAAACGATTGTCACGTTTAACTTCGGGTACATATATTATGAATTTTGTTTAGGATACAACTTTGTTTACATGTATAGTAACAATATTCAGAACATTTCTGTAAACTGTATTTGTATGATCCATAAAATATCGATTCATTTCTGCAAAAATCACCCAACAGGCTAAAAATACATATAGAGGATTTATAACATTTGTGGAATGAAATGAACAGGTATGGCTCACAAAATGTGTAGTTAAATTGTAAGACACTTTAAAAACAGACAAACTCTTGGGACATAACTTTAACACGTTTGTTTGCTTTCAAACAAGTGATGTCCCTATAGAGGATGGTTGGCGCTGAGTGAACAGTGTTCATCAATAGCGCTACACAATGTTTTAATCAAACATCTGAAATACTGATGGGACAGCTCAAAGTTTTTGAACCAAATCTCTTTGCACCTGGTTAGTAATAAAGCAGAGGATACTTGATTCCTTCTATTCACTTGTTTCAAAACTGTGACGTTATTATTTGTCCTTTTTCATGTATACACTATTAGAGGCAATTTCTTGTCTTGACATGTATGGGAATCTCTGAAAGCCTGCTTCACTCAATTAATTTGTCCCAGAACTGCTGTAATATAAAATTAAGTTAACAGGGTGAATATCAAAGTCTCAGATGCATGGAGAACTGATCACAAAAATGCAAACTAATCCTGTTAAGTGCATTTGTGCAGAAATTAGTTACAGAGAAACAGTACAAGACTAGTGTTCTCCTAGTCACGATTACAGATGAGAGCTAATGCTCATTTAGCCTCAGATATGCGATATGTGCAAACTCTTACAGAATGAGGTGATGAATAATGGCTTGAGTTTCTGATTTTTGAAGTATCAGAAAACATACAGCAAGTCATTATAGAGCTTAATCTGATAAAAAATAAAAAATCCTTCCAACCAGATAATAAATTGGTTATGATTGTGCTGAAACAATAAATACATCCTTGAAGAAAACTAACAATAGTAATAATACAAAAAATATATATATATTACATTTAATATTACACAGAACAAAATGTGTGGGTGGCAAGATACAGCATTAATCAAAAATAACAATAATAAAATATAAATATTATGTGAAACATGATAATGCAAGCACTACAGAAATGATGATGATATTCCTTGATAGTTATTCAGCTATCAGTGTGTTTCATAAAGAAAATATCCACAGTGGTAAAATCCACTGGACAACAACATATATTAACTGTTAAACCTCACACGCCTACAACAAAATCTGACATATCTAAAGAAAAGAAAAGCAAAAAATAGACAAAAAAAAACAATTCACTGTCTACATGTACCTCTTTCACAGTCAGACATAGAGCAAAACATGCAGATTACTTAAAAAAATATATAATGGCAACAAGCCGGACAGACATAAAAGCTTATTGCCTTGTAAAACATTTTCAGTCTTTTAATGGTCATAAATGATTATTCATCAGTTGAATTCCCAGCAGCTTGCTCAAGGCAACCTGAGGAGCAGCAGGCCGCATTCCAGAGGGTTTGCTGCTGAAATCTCTGTGATCGGTCTCCAAGCCTTTCGCCATTGTAGAAGTGCAGTTCTGCAAGTGCACTCCAGACATTTGAGAGAAACACAGAGGAAAGCGGTAATGTTTTCCCATAAAACTCAAGCAGAAAAAAAAGACTGTTAGGCTTGTAGTTTTTTTATAAAAGTTCTGGCAGACAGTTTTTTGCAATAAATGTATGAAGGGGTTCAGAAGATTCGATTCCTCCATGCTTTGCAGTGTATAGTACATTAGAGTAGTCCTGAGGATTCAGGGATATTCAAATACATTCAGAAAGCACCTGGTGTTTCCTCGGACTAGAGGGCAGCAGTGAAGCCGTTTCTGTGGACAGGCAGAAACTCTGGCTCAGCTGCATCTTGAGTTTCTCCACTTCGTAGTTGTGCAGGTATTCCTGAACCAGAAAGCGTTCATGCTTTATATGTGCCTTTACCTCTACCGGCACATCTGGAATCAGCCACGCCACGAAGAATTTCACCACAAATACAACATGCTGAGAAAGGAGAGGAAACAGAGGAACAGTCATCATGTGTGCATAGAAGCAAATTTCCACATCTAAGTTTGTGTTAAATAGTAACTAAATGCATAGCAAACATTTAAGCTCATACGGTACATGTCTTTCCATTGTTCCTGTATTGAGCTCATTTTCTTTTTAGACTTCAGATGCTACAAGCAATGTTCATGACAAAGCTTTACCAAGATCAGATTTGCTGTGCTAATTCTTATTAACAGAAAAAGATTGAGCTATCATGTTTTTATACTAACAGACAGAACTAAGGTTCAAAAGTCTGGAGCCAGTAAGAAGTCTCTTGTGTTCCATTAAGTCTCTTATCACCAAACCTGAATTTATTTGATCAAAAATACAGCAAAAAAAGTAATATTGTAAAATATTACTACAATTTAAAATAACTCTTTTCTATTTTAATATATTTTAAAATGTTATTTATTCTAGTGACTGAAAAGCTGAATTTTCAGCAGTCATTACTCCACTCAGTGTCATTCGATCCTTCAGAAATCATTCTAAAATGCTAATTTGGTACTCAAGAAATATCAAATGTTGAAAACAATTTTGCTACTTAATATTTTTTTCTGGAAACTATGATGCATTTTTCAGAATTCTTTGATGAATAGAAAGCTCAAAAGAACGTCTCAGGTTACTTATGTAACCATGGTTCCCTGAGTAGGGAACGAGACACTGCGTCCTCTAGGGGTCGCTATGGGGAACGCCTCGTCGTGACCCGTGTCTGAAGCATACATTGAAAAAACACCAACTCGTTGGCCGGCGACAGCCATGACATAAGAGGACGCAGTTCGAAGTTCCCATGAAAGGGAACTGCATTTATTTGAAATACATTTTTTTTATTTGTAAAAATTAACAAGTCTTAATTGTCACTTTTGACCAATTTAATGTGTCCTTGCTGAAAGTATTAATTAACTTGCTTGTCCTTTTCTTTACCTTCCTGATCATGTTATTCTAATACAAATATACTTATTATAGTTATTTTAAATTTCCCTGCATATTCCACTGTATTAATTCGGTTTCCTAGGGTGTACTCACACTAGGCACAGTTGCCCTCCCCCACTACCCTGCTGGCCTGCACTCACACTTGCACTAAACATTCCAGGCCGGAGCACGTTTACACCATGTACGAGATAACGGAGAAAACCACTTTCGCTAATAGACTGCCTAATAAATTCATTTATGCCATGCAGCGATTTTCACTTGTGTGTATCAGAGAGGATTATTACGGAGGCAGCTGACGTTAATGAAAGAATTTGCAGCTTTATCCACAAACTAAAATTCCTGTTCATTAAGAACCAGACCCAGACCCGTTATAAACCTAAATATATTTGATTTAATTAAATTAATTGAAGTGTACTGTAATAGTAGTAATAGATGATGTTTGCGGTCGTAATGATGACAGTAGTGTACACAAAATAGTAGCTGTTCTGTGCAATCACACTACAGCCCAACTGAACCGTGCTCTGGCCCACCTCTTCCAAGCGAGCCATGGACGGCTAAACGAATCTACGGAGCGATCACACTAGTCAAACACGCTAGGGCACGGTTCAGATCACCTAGTGCGAGTACACCCCTAAATTGAAATTAGAAGCCTTTTATGTTATGCAAATTTCTTACTTCCATAATGATGATGAAGGCTAGCTTAGCAGCCAAGATATGCCAGAACTGCATTGTGTGTGTGTATTGCTTTTCATGCCCAGGTGGGTATCTGTAGTCCCGATAGCTGGAAAACAATATATTCATCATGCTGTTAATCTGGCATATCGATGTGTAGGTCTAATACAGACTACAGTTTTCACTAGGCAGTTACACACCTGCATCTTGTGATGGTAGAGCTGTTAAACCAGGATGGGTTTTCTCCATGTTCAGGTAGGTTATCTTCAGGGATCTGAGAGATGTTGTAAAAGGAGAGGCTGTTGGTGATGTAACCTCTCATAGTGGCCTCGCTGCCTGGGTGGTAGGTGTACAGATAGACCAGGCGAGGAATCATATCCGAGGTGAATGCCACGATGAAAGCCTCAAGTGCAAATGAGAGAGAGGAGGAAAGAAATAACAATAGATTTTAAGTATGGTAGAAATAGTGTTATAAAATAGACCTTTTGTTATACAGGAAATGCTATTGCTTATAGTTAACTAACTATATTTAGAAGGAAGTTCAAATCCAGATCCAATTTTACATAAGACAGTAAAATTACAGGATGAGTCAAAATAGAAAGCAGAACAAAACAGTTTGCATTTACATTCGTGACCACGGACAAGATGGCCACCACATTAAGGATCTCTTTCCACGCTCCAATGTTGCGCGCCTTCGCTGCCACTGGCCTTCTGAACTGTGTAGTAAACTTCCAAGCATCGACTCGCACCTCCAGGATGTTGTTGAAGAGGGCAAGAAGAGGGGCCAGTGGAAAAGAGGCCACGAAAAGTGTTATGAAGCCAAACTGGATCACTGTTTAAAACACACAGGAAACAACTGCTTTAATAGATGAAGCACTGACAAATGCTCACAGAAAGCCCTAGACACTTCTCATCCTTGAGGCTTCTTTAATAGGAGCATAAAGATAACTTTAAATAATATAATCTTTAAATTGATTTGTTTTTGGAATATATTAATTTTTACGTACATTGCTTTATATTTTTTTAATTTATATGAAAAAATCATGTATTCACTTATTATTGTGTTAATACAATATTCTTTAAATATATAGTGTACAGTAAATAAAACATATGTTTGGGGTCAACGAGATTTCTGTGATGTTTTTGAAAGAAGTCTCCTATGCTAACCAAGGCTGCATTTATTATATATATATATATATATATATATATATATATATATATATATAAGTCTCTAATTCTCACCAAGGCTACATTTATTTCTTCAGCAATACAGTAAAAACAGCAATATTGTGAAATGTTATTACAATATAAAATAACTATTTTTTTATTTTAATATATTTTAAAATGTTATTTATTCCAGTGATTAAAAAGCAGAATTTTCAGCATACATTACTTCAGTTTTCAGCGTCGCATGATCGTCTAACGTGCTAAGTGGTTGCTCAAGAATCATAACTTATTTCATATCAGTGATGAGATAACAGCTGTGCTGCTTAATATTTTTGTGGCAACAGTGAATCTTTTTTTTTTTCAATGTAATCAACATAAAAAGTCTTCACTGTCACAATTTAATGCATCCTTACAGAATAAAGTATTACATTTCTTTCAAAAAACTCTTGGTGTTGCTACATTTTGAACAGGAGTGTATTATAAAATATTATTTTATTTTGCACAACGGCATAAAGTATCTAAATGACTTTAATTAACTGCTTTGCTATATAAACACCAAATAACTCCAACATGTATAATGGAGTAAAATCATACCCATTTCCAGATACTCATAGAAGAGTCCAAACTGGCTGAAGTTCTGCAGATTGTGGTCCTGCTCCCATCTACTGTATGTACTCTCTGGATTACTTCGCCCTTTCCTGCTGCCCCACCAGTTTCTGAAAAGTCTGTGACACAGGCACAAGGGACCATTATGTGTGTGTGTTTTTTAGATATACAGTATATGGATAGTGCCTAGAGGACAATTTTAAAAAACACATGTGCAATAAAATTACAAGTAAAAAACAAACATTCTTAGAGGTCAAAGTTCAATATAATGCTTACGGCAACAGAGCCTCTTGAACGTTCCCAACCATTTGTTTTCCAGCCATTACGATAAGCAGCTGTGTGGTCAGCTCAATCAGACAGCCCCCAGGGGCGCACTAAATATTAAAATGCATATCGTCAGGTTAGATCTACTTATTCTGATATTCAGCTGAAGAACATTAGGTCCTTTGACATACGGGTATTTCAGACAGTCTCACCTCTTCATTTCTCAGCTTGCTCCACTTTCCAAACATATAACTGTAGTTTCCCGGATAACCCACAAACTTCCCTTTAAAGAAGGCCACATAGAAACAGGAAGAGTAGTAGTTCACAAACTGGAACATAAACATCTTCATGGTCAGCTTATTCTCATACTCCAGATGGGTCTTGGGGATCTCTGAGAGTTAAAAAGAGGAAGATAGTAAAATATTTTCCATGCAGCTCAACAAACAGATGAGCAAATACGTGAGGTATAATGTACAGTCATTATCAGAAAACAAATACACACGGTAATTTTGTGATGACCATCTGACTTATTACATAGCTACTCAACAAATAAACAAATAAATGAATGAATAAATAAAGTGGACACATACTCATTTATTATAAACTGTATTAATTAAGCAAACTATAAAACTTGCCATTTTCCAGAGACTGAAATGCATTTAACGTGTCAAACAACTCTAATTTCTTGTGTTTTCGCTCACCCATATCAGTGATCCAAATGGCCACATGCTCATAGAGGAAGTTGAGGATGAGGATAATGACAAAGTTGATGCAGGAAGCAGTGACAGAGGTGGCAAGTTGAGGGGTGATGAGAGAGCCCACCAGCTGGATCTTACTGGTGGGGCTGTCCTTCATGACGCTGGCAAACGCTGCATAAACTGCCAATCTGTAAGCGATCACTCCCATTATACAGGCCACTATCAGACACGTCTGACAAAACACAAAGAGAGGGAAGGACTTAAACCGATTGATCTTCGTTTTAATGAGCTAGCAAAGTGTAAGAAATTGGTTGCCAGGGACAAAAGGTCAAATATACAGTTTAAAATGACATACAATAAAATCTGACTGCAAAATGTAACTGACCAATCATAATAACTGATAACCTAATCTATATCATACAGTTGCACTGTTTAGCTTACTAACTCACCCAAAAGAGAACCGTTGCTCCAGACAGACAGAATCGGGCACACTTGCTGGGGAAAGGAAGATAAGGCTCCATTTCCTGTTAGCAATAAAGAATGTGTCATCAGTTCAAGCTCCATAATTGGACAAGAGTTCAACTGTTTTGTAAATAATAATAAAATTAAAAATTAAAATTAAATAAAAATGACTAGTATAAACAACATATATGAGATGATGTACACTTCCGTTGCATTAAACAATATTTTGTCTTTGCAATCTTTCATCTAAATGTAATAAAAAGTGGTTTAAAGCTAAAACAACTCAGCATTAACAAAAAGTATATTTGGACTACTTGAAGTTATTTGACATTAAGTAGCATATCATGACTAAGACTGCATGTAGTGTTTACTTGAGAAACAAAAAACTAGAGATGCACCGATTGCACTTTTCTTGGCCGATTCCAGTTCTACTTCATCCAATGCAAAAAAAAATATTTACATAATAAAAGAAATTATTAAACATTACAATTCCCCCAATCTGGACTAAGTTACAGATGTTCTCTCACTTAAACAACTCTAAAAATAAAGTGCTCTGTGACTGGAAATAGGTAGAAATTAGTTGCTGTATAACAAAACAGAACAGATGTCATTTCCCACTATGAATAAATACTATAAATGGTCATTTTTTCCATCTTTCACATCAAATTCTTACATTGTTTCAATGAATTCAGTTAGAATAATAAGAAACTGTAGAGTTGTTACCAGATTTGAGGAACCCTGCCCTATGGTCTCATGGACTTAACGGACATGCGCACGCGGCGGCCATTGTAAGTTCGCAAGACCGCAAGTGCGCATGAAGTGTGCCATTTGGGACAGGGCCGCTGTCTTTATGAATGGGTTACTGAATCACTCGATTCATTCAAAAACGTGGATTCATTCATTAACGAAACACTGCTGTGTTTCTCGGAGACACAACAGTTCTGCTGTGGCTTTGATTGGAACGATTTTCATTTCCGAAACTGAGCAAAAAAAGTCAATATTGTGTCTAAAATGTAAGTCACTTCATTTTAACACTATTGTAAAAAATCAGTGTCGCATTGCAATTGTGTTGATATTCGGGTAAACATCTAGGTCGTGTAATGTTGCTTACCTATATCATATATAATAAATATCTTTTTTTTTTTCCTACCGTAGTATGTATCTATTTCTGTGAGTTACTTTGTGTGCTGTTGTGCTCATTTGTTTTGATTTCTGCACGAGTCTCTCTCTCACTCAGGCTGCGTGAGCCTCATCTGACACGACATAAACATATATGACCCTGGACCACAAAACCAGTCATAAGGGTAAATTTTTCGAAAATGAGATGTATACATCATCTGAAAGATTTTTGTTATGATAGGACAACATTTGGCAGAGATACAACTATTTAAAAAAAATCAAAATATTGAGAAAATCGCCTTTAAAGTTGAAGTTCTTAGCAATGCATATTACTAATCAGAAATTAAGTTTTGATATATTTACAGTAGGAAATTTACAAAATATCTTCATGGAACATGATCTTTACTTAATATCCTAATGATTTTTGGCATAAAAGAAAAATCAATAATTTTGACCCATACAGTGTATTTTTGGCTATTGCTACAAATATACCCCAGCGACTTAAAGGGGTCATATGACGTTACTAAAAAGAACATTATTTTGTGTATTTGGTGTAATGCAATGTTTA